AATATTTATGTCCTCTTCTTTTGCTATCATTTCATTTGGTGATAATACAAAACTCTAGAAAATAACACATCTCAATCTCATGCATGTGAACAGTAAAACAAGCTAGATTTAATGCGGAATGGTGGAATTTATTCCCTCACTTCACTTTTATTAGCTTGTCTAATATTTCAAAACTATAGTTTTCACTTGTCACATTTTATATATTAAGACAAAAACAGTTAATTATTTATGTTCTAAATCATTTTCTATATATTACTCCATTAATATGAGTGTTACGGTATAACCTTTATATCTCTCATCATTATTATTATCTCTTAAGAATCATGCTAAGTATAAAATGAATAATGGGCAAAATGTATGAAATATATTCAAATTTTGATAGAAATTGTTGTAACAATTCCAAACTTTGAGCAAGACCTATTACCTCCTACACTGTGTTTTAAAGATATATAAGTGTCCAGTTGGACAAATTACTATTTATAATGATGCAATATTTATTATGTCTACGTGGGCACCTATATATCTTTAAAATACACTATTAAATAGTGTAGGAGGATAATAGGTCCTGCCTAAAGTTTGGGATTGTTACATCAATTTCGGTTAAAGTTTAGATATATTTCAAACTTTTTTATGAATAAATAAAAATGATGTTGGATAAATAAAAACGAATGGAAAAAAATAAGAGCAACTTTCACATATAGCAAACACAAAATTCATATTTGTATGCTATAGCAAAGTTTGCATAATTGCGCTCCATAGCAAACATCAATATGTATATTTCGCTATACATATACAAAAGAAAGCAGTTGTATAATCTGCTTTGGTATACATATACAAAAAAAAGAGAACTGGACAGGGGAATATTTGTATTGTATAATTATAAGTGTATAGGACGAAGATATATGTATTTGCATGTGTATATACAATTTTCTCTCGCTTTATACAAACACAAACGCATTTTATACAATTTGCGTTTTTTGTATAAAGTGAGAGAGGCGAGTGAGAGAGCGAGATATGGGAGAGTGGCGAGCGAGATCTGGGAGAGGGGAGAGAGGGGAATGAAAATATATGTATATATACAATTTTCTCTCACTTTATACAAACACAAACGCACTTTATACACTTGCGTTTGTATAAAAAACGAGAGAGACGAGGGAGAGAACGAGAGTGGTGAGCGAGATTCACCAGGAGAGAGGTGAAATAGCAACAGTTTGCTATGAGGTACAATTAAATCAAACTATATTTATAGCATTTAATTTGAATTAATAGTTTGCTATTATATACAATTTTCCCTTAATTATATATGAGTTAAAAATATTCATCCTAAAATTTATGATAATGTTCCAACACCTTATTAAATTGATATTATTGCATGATAATTTATTAAACCTAAAAATAGAATAATTATTTTAACAATAAACTTCATTCTAGTGATCATTTGTTCCTTTTATATTATTATATTTTTTTAATTTTGGTAAATATATTTTTAAGAAAATATTCCCCGAGGACTCCTAATTTTCAAAAATCCTTAGATTTCAATATAAAAAAATTCCAATTAAATTATATAAAAATATTTAAGTTTGCATATTTCCAAGTAAATCCCTCAAAAAATCTCAAATCAAATTCACAACAATAGAATCCCCAAGTAATTCTTCAAGTAAGAAAATTCCTAAATAAATCCCCAACAAAATTCACAGAACATGAATCCCTAGGTAATACCACATATATTTCTAGATAAATTTCCAAATAATTATTTGCAAATAAATTTATCTAGGAATTTTCTTGCTAGAAGATAAAAAAATTCTTTTTTTTATTACTTGCAAATTTACCTATGAAAATAATACTTACAAATTATTTGCCGCAAATAATTCCCTAGGTAATAATTTTGTGAAAATGGTGCCAAATTTACCCACCAATTTTTTTGGGAAACTATTTTTCGCAGGTAAAAGAGTATAATTTATGAATTTCATATTTCCGCATGAAAATTCGTAGGAAGTTTCTGCAGAAATAATCCCCAAGTAAAATTCACACAGTTTTCTATCAGTGGATTGTTCTAGATGTTTTTCCTCAACCTGTAGATTATTATTATTAATAACAATTGCCAAGGCCTCATAGCCAAAAAGATGGTTCATCACCCTCAAATCTCTTCTTCTCGTAACGGTTCAAAGCTTATGGGGTTACGAGTTAAATCAGCTATACTGTTCCCAATTTGAAACACACGACATATAAGAGGAAGAGAACCGATAAAGCATAAGCGCCAAATATTTATGAAATTTATCCATGTTTGGTGAAGAGCAATATGATACAATTTTGGTTCTTTAGATCCTTGATTTTATCTGCTATGTATTTTCTCTTTTCTGATATTGGTGTCCAGGTATAGCTGCGTAATTTCGTGGCAGAGGAGAATTGTGGATCCTTCAAATGAAGGCCTCTTTTCGTTAGTCCGAGGAGAATTGCGGATCCTTTTCTCTATATTTTGAATTTGTTGTCTATGGCGTATCTCACTTTTTCAAAGTCTCATATTTTTCTTTTGATGGTGTGTTTGTTTGTTTGTTTGGGAGTTTTAGATTTTTATTTTAAGGTTTGAATGAAAATTGGGAGTGGAATTATATTCTCTCATTCCACAGATTGATCAAGCAATCAAAAAGTCACCAAATGCACATTTATTCTTTGTGTTCTTGAGATATGTTTTTTCATTAAATTTTTTAAGATATAGTCTCTTTTACATTCTTTTTTCTCAATTTTCATCGTTTTAATATTTTTCAAGTTGATTATAGATTTGAGTTGGGAACTAATGTGCTCAATGTTTATTGCTCCTTCTGAAGGGATGCACTTTTATCATTCTTGTTGTTTAGCTTAAAACTCATGTACATACTTCTATTACCTTTGTTTCCCATTTACAATATCTCCTTATTTGGTTCTATATGTTTACCAGTTTTATCTTCAAATTATTTTTTGGAAGTCAATCATGATTTTTTTTCACCGAGGAGCTTTTGAATTCTATTTCTCATTGATTTTTTAATTATTTATTATTTGTTCCATCAATTTGCAGGGATGAGAAGTACTCACGAGGGTTTATTGAAGTGAGTATTCCTGCACTTTGATGTCTCTTTAATTGCATCAGAATTATCAAAATCAGGTTCTTGAATTTCTACTTTTGTCCTATTCTTTTGTAATTTTCATTTATGAAATGAATTAATTGCAACTATTTGAGCATAAAATTAGCAAACTGTGGAGACATGAATTTTAATATCAATGGTGTTATGGATTATCATTTAGTTAAGGGTAAGCAAATTGATAAATTGGAATTTCACATTTTTGATTGCTTTATAAATCATCAAGAGCTTATTTAATCTTGATCCAATTAGATGTATTTTCTCTGAAATTGCACTATAAGAATATATCTGCACTATAAGTATAAATAGTCAGTTATATATCCTTGGAATTCATTGTTAGGCTAAAAAACAAAAAGGGTCATTTAGTTAAGAAGTTAGTTGAAGCATGAACTGAATTGAATAAGAAAAATTGGAAGTATCCTGTACAAATAATATTTCAATACAGAATGAATATTGTTGACAAAGCACATTTACAAGGTATTAAAATTATCAGAAAATTCCATACAGTTTATTGAAATTGTGAGTTCATGTAGAGAAAATGGTCAAAATTGTCCTTAATCAATGTATTAGTTTTGATTCTATTATATTTGATCCTTAGTGTATAAAGAATGATCGAGACGATCCTTATTATGTAACAAAATATGATTAGTTTGGTCATGAATCATTTAAGTAAAGATAATAATTACAGTATTTTTTATTATACGGGAGAGGGAAGAGAGATCAATAGAAGAAACTTAATCTGATTTTCATAATAACACGATGCACATCTAATCTAATTTAAGATGGAGAATTGAGAACGAGAAAGGTTGATTTTTTAAAATCGTGTAATAGAAACTTCTTACTGTAATTACACTTTAAGAGTTTTGTTTCAAGGGAATATGAGAAAGTTGAGTGAAATATCATTTTCTTTCTACTGTTTTAATTTTTTATGCAACCATCTCTCCCCAAAAAGATATATATATATATATATATATAACATAAAAAACACGTATATCTTGACGCTGGAGCTGAGAGTACTACGTACAGAAAGGGAATTGTTGGAAAGCCAGTGGGCCAAGACCATTAGTAGGTTTTGATTCAATTAGTAGGTGTATGTTTGTTTGTTGCTATTTTTGTGACTTAACATAAATTGAGAAGTTAAAGAAATTTGAAGATTTAAATAAATGTGGTTGGGTCAAAGCCTATGCCAGGTATATGAAATTGCAAAAATACGGGTACACAAAACAACATGGAAAAGACTAATAATATCAAGTTACACTCTAGCAGTGCAATTTTGAAGTGTGAAAAATCTTTCATATCTTGTATGTGGAGCAATAATGAAAATAAAGGTAATTATTGCTATGTCTTGCCTATATTTTATCTTTAAAGTTGTATATGTATTGTATATTTTAAATCACTTTTATGTTCTATTTTGAGTATATATATTGAATCACTGGGCATGTTGTTTAAAGTAGATTGAATAAAGAATCAAGTTTCTTTTATGTTGTAATATGTATAAGCTTTATGCTTATAAGAGAAAATAAATGAACTTTTTGCTCAGTCAATTCTATTGTATCTAGCAATTGTTGTTGTTGAAAATCTATGTTAACATGTTTTTTTAATTTAATTTTCAGAAGTATATCCAAAAATAGTGATGAGAGTATATCGAAAAACAACGTCTAAGGTTGCTCACACACCACTCTTTTGATTTAACAAAAAGAACTTTCCTTTTTGTTCATTAGCATACAAGCACTTTGCTCTAGCTAGGACCTCCATAAATTAGAACGTGCTTAAAATATTTTGCATAAAAACAAAGGTCATTTGTATTTCATGTAGATGAATGCCAATCCAGGTACTATGAAAAGGATTACTTGACTAAACATTTCTTGCGGCAGTTGTTTGAGTGTCACCAACATATTGTGTGTGAAATATGTGGGACCAAGCGGCATCTTCGCACAGATAAAGGGGCCTACTTCGGATAGAATGAAATGTGAGTTCCAGGATTATCAACACATACACCTTTCTCATCCGTAAGGGCCACTACAATTTCTTAGATGTAGTTGAAGTTTCTTTTTGTTAACAGTTTATTTCATGAATATAGAAAGCCATATAACAAATTCATTACAGAAGTTCAAGGAGAAATTCATAGATAGCTAGCCACAGTTTTAAACCTTAAGGATATCATTATATATCAAGTTGTTGCTAAGAATAGAATAGATTGATGAACACAACTTGATAGAGAAGCCAATAGTTGAAAAAGGAAATAACAGGAAGAATAAAAGAGAACCAAAGTTTGTTGCAGAGATTGTTACTGGATGTGTTATTCAATAGGCTTTGTAGCCTTATATATGTTTACATGCTATGGAATCATATTCCCACTAAACCACTAATGTAATTCCACTAAACCAACTCACCTAAACATTAGGAACACAATTCTGCAATACTACAAAATAGGAAAACTATCACGAGTTAAAAGAAAACAACTACCAACTGAAAGCTAAAATATAGCCATAGTGCAGACTTAGTCAAACTAAATAATAGGGGCTGATGTTGTACACCTTTTAACACCTCCTCTCGACATCAGCTCCGGTCTTAACCATGCCTAGTTGTTGACATAAAATTTCAAACTTATTGACACTTAAGCCTTTCGTGAACACGTCTGCAATTTGTTGTTCGGTTTTAATATGCTCCAAGTCAATCTCTCCTTGCAACACTTTTTCCCTAGTGAAGTGGTAATGTATTTCCACGTGCTTTGTCCTAGCATGAAAAACAGGATTTTCAGCCAAGCAAATCGCTGGCTGATTGTCACAGTACAAGGTAACTGAGTAGCCAACTGGTTGGTGTAAATCCTTCATCAATTGCATAAGCCACAAACTTTCTTGAGCTGCAACTGTTGCTGCCCTATACTCTGCTTCTGTTGTTGACAGTGACACAGTTGGTTGCCTTTTGTTGCACTAAGAAATCGCTTCAGCTCCGAGCTTAAACACATAGCCAGTTGTTGAACGTCGGGTATCATGATCTCTTGCATAGTCAGAGTCACAATATCCGACCAACTTGCATTATTCACCTTTCTTGTACAGAAGACCATAATCAATTGTACTTTTCACATATCTTAGTATTCGCCGAACAGCCTCCATATGGTGCTTCTTTGGATTGTGCATGTAGCGACTCATCACACCAACTGCAAAAGAAATATCATGTCTAGTTTGAGTTAAATAAATCAGAATACCTACTAATTGTCGATACATTGTCACATCTGTTAAGTCTTTTCCTTCATGTGCACACATCTTAGCATTTGGCTCAAATGGTGTTGATATTGGTTTGCAATTCAACATTCCAAACTTCTTCAACAGATCTTTAGAATATCTTTTCTGATGCAAATAAATTCCTTCTTCATTACAATCAACCTCCAAGCCAAGAAAATGGTTGAGTTGGCCAAGTTCCTTCATCTGGAAGCGAACTGACAAATTCTTCTTTGTTAGAAGAATTTCTTCTTCACAGTCTCTTGTTAGGATTAGATCATCCACATATACTAGCACAATAGCTAGTTTCTTTCCAACAACTTTCACAAACAAGCTGGAATCTGCTGGTGCTACAGAATAACAACTATGAGTAAGAAATTTAGAAATCTTACCATACCATGCCGTTGGCGCTTGCTTTAAACCATATAGCGCTTTTCGAAGCTTACATACATACTCAGGATGAGCTTGACTTTGAAAGCCCATTGGTTGACACATGTAGATCTCCCGATCCAACTCTCCGTGCAAAAAGGCATTTTTTACGTCCATCTGCCAGAGGTTCCAATTTTTACTGGCAGCAAGTGCAAGTATGATCCGAACTGTAGTAAGCTTAGTCACTGGACTAAATGTTTCATCATAATCTAGTTCATATTGCTGAGAAAATCCCCGGGCTACAAGACGAGCTTTGTGCCTTTCAATTGACCCATTTGTGTGACGCTTTATCTTGTAAATCCATTTGCAAGAAATATGTTTGACATCTCTTGGCTTTACCACGAGCTCCCAAGTTTGATTTAGTTCTAGTGCATCAATCTCCTCCTTCATAGCTTTACTCCACTTCAGATCAGGTTCTTTTTCATCTTCTTCTTCTACTATGGCAGCATTGGCATACTTTGGATTAAACTTTCTGATCCTTGATGACCTTCTAAGAGACAGTGGTGTGTTTGCTCCACTTAGCTCGTCTTCTTCACTTTGTTGTTGATACACACCAGTTTGCCAAGGATTGTGAGCCACGCATTCTTCAGCAATATCTTCGTTAGCTTCATCTTCAGCTTCATCTAGACTTAGCTGGACATGAGACGAGTCCAATACATCTTTGAGAACATTCAAATCTGGCAGGATCTCCTTATTTGAAGACCACCATGAAGAAGCTTCATCAAATATCACATTTCGAGAAGTGTAACACTTTCCCGTGCTTGGGTCACAACAACGCCACCCTTTTCGTTGACTGTCATACCCTACAAAGATACACCTAACAACCTTTTTGTCCATCTTGCTACGTAAATGGTTAGGTACAAATACATAGCATACACATCCGAAAACACGAAAATAGCTAACTGATGGTTTCATATTCCATAACTTCTCAAAAGGTGAAAGAAAACTTAACCTTTGTTGAGGAATTCTATTGATAACAAAAGCTGCAGTTTTCATAGCTTCCGTCCAAAATTGTCCCGGAATATTTTTCGCGTGAAGCAAGCTCCGACAGATTTCTGCTAGGTGTCTATTCTTTCGTTCTGCTATGACATATTGTTGTGGAGTATTTGGACATGTGAGCTGACGATGTATTTGATACTTCTGAAGGAATTCAGAGAATTCATATGAGGTGTATTCCCCACCATTGTCAGTTCGCAGGCAAAGAATTTTCTTGCCAACTTCTACTTCAGCAACCTTTTTAAATTCTTTGAATTTTGAAAATGTATCAGACTTTTCCTTCAGAAAATAAATCCATACATACCTGGAAAAATCATCAATGAAGGTTAATATATATTTCATCCTACCAATAGAGAGTTGCTTGACAGGTCCAAATACATCAGAGTGAATTAACTCTAATGGTTCCTTGGCTTTATATTTTGACTCATCATACGGCAACTGATGTGCTTTACCATACTGGCAGCCCGCACATATAACATCTGTCCTTACTGAAAGTTTTGGAAGACCCTTCAGCATTGACTTTTCCATCATGACACTTAGCTTAAAGTAGATAACGTGGCTCAACCGCATATGCCATAAGTCTGCAGTTTCATTCTTCCTTTTCATGTCTATATATGCGGTGTCTGTCGACATTACATAGACGGAATTCAATCTTTGTCCCTTCATTATTGGCTCTTTTTTAATTTCAAGATCATGATATATTTTTACATCTTGTGGACCAAACAGAATAAAATGACCTGTAGATGTTAATTGCGCTACTGAAAGAAGATTTTTCTTCATACCTGGGACATGATAAACATTTTGAAGCAACATCAGATCAGCACTACTATTTGGTGACACTACAGCCTTACCGATATGAGCTATCGATAATTTTGTATCATCGGCTCTCACCACCTCACGATTTCCCTTGTACTTGGTTAGATTTTGCAACTTCTCCTTGTCACCAGTCATATGGTTTGAGCACCCTGAGTCAACAATCCAGTCATTCTCATAATCAATTTGTTTAGAGGTTGTTACTGTAAGAGCTAACTCATCTTGTTCTACAGCAAAAAATGCTTCAGCAACCCAATCATCTTCACTCTTTTCCTTTGGACTAGAAGTGGCTGCAGCATTGCTCTCAATAGCCTTTTTATTGAACCAGCAAACATTGGCTTTATGGCGCTTCTTTCCGCAGTGATGACACTTCCCTTCAAACCTCTTGTTTTTTCCCCAATAGTTCTTTGAAGCTCCCCCTGGAGGATAATTCCCCTCTCCTTGATGATTTTTTTTTTCTTTATCATCATTTCTTTTTGTCCCAGCTACATTGTCCTGCTTGGAGTTCCCTCTGCTTTTATTGATATAGAGTGTTTCATCCTCACCTTTTTGTGAAACTCCGCCCATTTGCTTAGCCATGGCTTCTTGGCCAACAAACATATTCTCAAACTCAACAAGTGATGGTTGAATTTGCCATCCCTGTACTGCAGTAACAAAGTTTCTGTACTCAGATCTCAAACCATGAATGATTATTCTTTTCATCCTGGTTTCCCTGATTGGAGCTATTGGTTTCAATTCTGAAATTTCATGGCATATCGACTTCACTTTGTGAAAGTATTGTGCAATGTTCATATCATTTTGAGCTATCGACAATAACTCACTTTCTAAAAGTTGTAGTCGTGTGTCATTCTTCTTTGAAAAGAGTGCAGCCAGCGTGTCCCAAGCTTCCTTTGGTGTTCCAGCATCTCGTATATGTTCCAACACGTCTTCTTCGATGGTGGTCTTGAAGGAAAATAATGTTTTTCCTGCTTTAATCTTCCATTTTCTCAATGCGCCATTTGGTTCTTCTTCCCCTGGTTTGACTTCACTTTCGTTAACGACCTCCCAAAGATCTTGACCTTCCATGTAGGAAGTCATACATGTCATCCATGTTTTGTAATTCTGATGGTTGAGTTTCTTAACTCCACCTATGGCATGTAAATCAGTCATCACAACAGAATAGAGCAGTTAGTATATATGTTATGTGTGGCTTGTAATTCTGATGGTTGAGTTTCTTAACTCCACCTATGGCATGTAAATCAGTCATCGCAACAGAATAGAGCAGTTAGTATATATGTTATGTGTGGCTTCTCTTTCTCTTCTTTAAACGTAGCTCTGATACCAAATGATGAACACAACTTGATAGAGAAGCCAATAGTTGAAAAAGGAAATAACAGGAAGAATAAAAGAGAACCAAAGTTTGTTGCAGAGATTGTTACTGGATGTGTTATTCAATAGGCTTTGTAGCCTTATATATGTTTACATGCTATGGAATCATATTCCCACTAAACCACTAATGTAATTCCACTAAACCAACTCACCTAAACATTAGGAACACAATTCTGCAATACTACAAAATAGAAAAACTATCACGAGTTAAAAGAAAACAACTACCAACTGAAAGCTAAAATATAACCATAGTGCAGACTTAGTCAAACTAAATAATAGGGGCTGATGTTGTACACCTTTTAACATAGATGTCTATATTAATTAAAAAGAAATAAGTTGACAGTCTTTTCGACCTCAGTTTGTCAGTAATTAAAAAATATAGATAAAGATAGTTTATTCAGAAAAAGTTGAACCCTTTTCTCTCTGATTCAGTGGCAATGATTAAGAATGATGTTTTTCTGCAGTCATGTCATCTGGCTCTCTTACATTCTCCAAGATCCAGGCTTACTCCGGTGAGTGTGAAGTTGTTGCCTAATAATATCTATAGTGTATTCTCTATTACTGTATTGATCATTTGAAAGAAATTTTGAACAATTTGATGCAAGAGAAGAGGAAACAGTTCGACTGTCATCAAAGGTTTTCGACGATAAGTGTGTGACAAATTCACTTGAGTTTAGTTCCAGTCGAAACAGTGAAAATGTGTGTTAGATGTTCTATTTGACAGTGTTGGCTTTCTTCAATGAAGAACAAGAGTTCACAACAGAGGATGGTCCTTGACACCTATGAACTCTTCAACCTTCTTCGTTGGTGGTCGGTTCTCTGCTGCTTTCTTTATTGATTCTCTTCGTCAAGACTTTCATTTCTCCAATTTTGGATCTCACGAGTATGATTAAAATAGAAGAGTACTTTTAACACTCCAATAATCCACATATTTAGGTAATACACAGAGCAAGGTAAGTTAACTGTTACAAATTTTTGGATATAGTTTATATTATCGATATAGTTAACTGGTATAAGGCCAGTGTATTCTATTTTACATGATTTTAAAGTCACTAACAGATATAACTGTGCAGGACTTAGGAGATGCCCTTTGATGTGAAGACTCATACTTGCACAAATATAACAAAATCTTTTGTTCCACGAGTTAGTAGTAAGGTCTGCTTACACTTTACCCTTCTCATTCACGGGGTATGTTGTTGGCCTCCTCTTCTTTCAAAGAATCTGGAGGAATTGAATTCATGTGTATTGTAGACAGATCTTTTGTCATTATTTAATTCAAGAAGTGAAATTGTTGGTGTGCCCAAATGCACATGTCCAATCAAATACATGTATTGATAGTATATGTGCAAGTGATCTTTGCTTCTTAAACAGTCTCTTGTCTTCTTTTTTTAATCGAATTGAATTATTTAATTATAAGAAAAATTGTATATCTTAATTCATTTTTATGATGGGAGTTGTACGTTTCTGAGAATTTCTTTTTTGAGAAGCAATGAGTTCATGAAAATATAATTTGATTACTTTAGAGGTAATATTTGAATTAATTTAATTTAGTTACGAGTTAATATTTGAATTGTAGTAGTAGTATTTGTAGCTGTGTCACATCCATGTAAGTAAATAAATCAACAAAACTAAGCGCTAAAAATACGAAAATTGCTTCTAAAAACAATAATTATTGAAAAACCTTTAGTATGAATGAGACATATAATTTACTTCAAATAATTTGAGATCGTACTTGGTCATTTTTATGTATATTTTAGCTGATATTTAATGGAAAGATAAAATAAATGTTATTTTTGTTTGAATTGATTAAATCTAGACTCTCCAGAATTATTATAATACTGATATTTCATCCTCATTTCAAATATAACAGATAATTTTGATCAAAAGCATATATTTTTTATTAACTAATTTATAAATAGTATTATATAAATGTAATTAGTACTCTCATATGTATAATGTTCAACTTAAATAATTCACTTTAAAAACAACATTCAATAGAATGACATTCACAAAATATATAGATAACATGTTTGACTATTGTATTACAAAATATATAGATAACACGTTTGACTACTATATTATGTTCAAGATAATAGTATTTTTATTTATTTTATATAATGGTGTCTATATGTGATTGTCTCACTTATATTAATCAATTGTAGATCACGAATAAGATTACACGTTGGTCCCGTGCTTACCACGTACGGACAATACTTATCTAGTATTCATTATACATAGCATGACTCTTAAAAGATAATAATAATGATTGATATAAGGCTTGTACCAAAAAGCACATATTAAATAGTAATATTTAGTATGATGTTCTGAATAATAATTTTTTTAAAATAATTAATATGTCAAATGTGACCAGTAGAAATTATAGTTTTGAAATGTTAGATAGATTCCACCATTCTGCATTGAATCTTGTTTTATTGTTCACATGGTATGTCTTATTTTCTAGAGTTTTGTATATCACCATATGAATTTAGCAAAAGAAAGGGACGTAGATATTTTGCAATAATAAATCGTTTCATTAAGAATAAAAAGATTACACATAAATTAGAATAGAGGGAGTATGTGAGATATTCTAACAAACATTAATGATTTAATTTAACCATCGAGCAATTCAATAGCCACACTTTGGATGGAGATCACATCTCCACCCGTTTTAGGAACCACAGTTACCGTAATGGTATCGTCATCTTCCAGTTCAATGTCCTCTAACAGTTCAGTAATGCCTAGCTGAAACATCTCATCAGAATCCATTTTCTGATTATGTGCATGAACATGAGGCAAGTTGACATAGCTCCCCGCGAACTCCACCTTATCAAGCTCATCTGTATTCATATCCTCATCCTCGTTCAGGAACACATCAAATCTTATATATTTGTTAGTATCATACTTTAAACCCTTGAATATTAGCACCTCTTCTTTTTCGTCTTTATCCTTTTGACTCCTTGACGTAGTTGGCCTATTGATGGAAAACGAAATGGGTTTGTTGAGGTTAGCAATTGGGAATACTTTGTTTGCTGGCTTGATGTTTGTTACAACCACTTTTCCTTCTCTGCCCTTTCTTGTTGGCCTACAGTTGATCCATGGGATGGCTGCTGGCGCGTAATCATAACCCATCTTCTTCGTATCCAAACAGTCTCCTACCCTCACACGGTAAGGGTTTTTGTTTTCATCATAGAAAAAGAATTCGGAGTTCAACCAATCTGGATCTATGATATCCCTTCTTTTCCCGCATAGTCCTTTCCATACTTTCCACATTCGGTCCACATTGGCGTGGTGGCAATAGAAAACCGGGTCTAAAGCGGCTGAGTAGAAATTACCCATATCTTCACCTAATGACAGTTTACCACCACCCAAATACGGACGTGTGGATTACGTCTTGCATCATAAAGGGGAGTATTTGCACGATCGAACATGGGAGGTAAACGCATACCTTTTGGATGGTCCCAATTCCAATAAGGTAAAGCGAAAGTTGGATCATCAATGAGTTTTCCCAATATTCTGTCGTAGAAAAATAAGTACCATCTATGGAACGGGAAGAAAAGCCATGATTGATGAACTTGTAAAATTTCATCACCGAATTTGTAAGCACCATTGCAATAAGCACAATGGATGTTGGCTTGTTGCATGAATGAACGAGGATCGTCTTTGTCTAGTTCCTTCATTCTTTTAGTTTCCAATTGGTACTTTGCTATATATTCCTTAGTCACGTCTTGAGCAACAGGACGTTTACGGAGCTTAGACATGGGAGGAAGATTGTAATATGGAATGTTGTTCAAGTCCTTTGGTGTAGGAGGGCAACAACTATATTCTACTAGATCTTTACTCCCCGTTTTCGTGGCTTTACTACATGATTTCAGATTAGGCGGCGGTATAGGAGAAGAAAAGGCTAATGGTGCAAGATTGGAAGCACTGTAGAGCCCTCCTAAACCAAGAAGCACATTTCTCCTATCGATATTTGCTTTAATATTTTGGTCGTGCTCATTAGCATTGCATGAGACGTGGAAACTTTGACTACGCCTTCTCTTCAACAAATGCGGAGAATAAGGTTTTGCAAAGAATGATGAGAGTGTTGTATGTTGAGCATAGTGAGACTGATGAGCTGTTATATGAGTTAGTCAGATTAAACAGTAAATGTCATGAAGTTAGTTAGCTGTTAGTTACTAGTTAAACTGTGGTTAGTTTATAATTAACAAGATTAGATGGTTAAAGTAGATCCAATTATACACACTATATATAGTGGTGTAGATATTTTGTTAAAAGATAATTCTGTACAGAATATTCAATACATTTTCTGTTTCTCTTCTTCTTAATCACTGTTCTTCACATTCTTATCATGGTATCAGAGCTTCAGATCCATTGACGATCTCCGTTTTTCAGTACAGTAGATAGCTTGTTGCATTGTAAAAAAGGCAGATCGTGGAAAATCTTGAAATTTTAGTTTTACAACAATGGCATCTAATCCCAATCCAGAAATCACTTCCAGTTCTATGCAAGGAGGACAAATTGTATTCGATGCACATCATCCCTTACATCTTCAAGCTTGCGACACTCTAGGTAGTTCTTTGGTTTCTATTCAGTTGACTGTATCTGAAAATTACGCTTTGTGGAGTAGATCAATGAAAATAGGTCTACTAGGTAAAGGTAAATTGGGATTTGTTAATAGCAAATGCTCTAAGAGTTCATTTCCTGCTTCACTTCATGATCTATGGGATAAATGTAATGCCATAGTACTCTATTGGATCATGATATCTATTATAAGTAGGGAGTTACTTAGTGGTATAGTGTATGCTAGCAATGTTCAGCAGGTGTGGAATGATCTAAAGGAAAGGTTCGACAAAGTAGATGGTTCTAGAATTTTTTTTCTTCACAAAGAGATTGCTACTATGACTCAAGGAGTATTATCAGTTTCTAGCTATTACTCTAAGCTGAAGGAGCTTTGGATGGAGTTTGATTCCCTTATGCCTTGTCCTAGTTGTGCATGTGAAGTGTCTAAGACCTATGTTGTTCATTTCGAATATCAGAGGTTAATGCAATTTCTTCTAGGGTTGAATGAATCATATAATCAGTGTAGAAGTCAAATCATGATGATTGATCCTACACCAGGTGTGAACAAGGCTTACTCATTAGTAATGGCTGAAGAGTGTCAGAGAGTACTTGGTAAATCGAATATAGTAGGGACTGAAGGCACTAACTCTATTAATTCTAGGCAATTGACTGAAGCAATGGCATTTTTCAGTAATGGAAAGGGGTTTACTAGATCATGAGGACCTACAAATCAGTCTGGAGGGTCTACTCAGTCTGGAGGATCCACTCAGTATGGATCAAGTTTTAGACCTCAGAAATCTCTTAACAACAATTTGTATTGTGATTATTGCAACTGGAAGGGCCACACTAGAGCTGTGTGTTTTAGATTGCATGGGTACCTTGCTAACTGGAAAGGTAAGAAGAGGACTAACCCTGGTCCTATCACTGCTGCCAACCTTGTAAGAGCAAATTCTCCTAGCAATGGTAATGCTAGTTTCATGGATTTTCAGTCTAGTTCAGGGTTTCCTGGTCAAGTTTTTACTACTGGGAACAGTTCAGGCAACTATCAGATTCATCAACCTCCTTCGTTATTAGGAAGTACTTCCTACTCAAATTCTTCCCCTGCTCTTATGACTAACATACAGCCCTACCAGTATCAGACTACACAGTGGCCATATCTAGTGCAGCAGCCATCTCCTCATCAATACTTGCAAATGCCACTGGAACTTAAAAAAACTACCAGTAATGCTGCTGGAAGAGCATCAGGTATGTTAAACTGTTCTATTTATCCAAATGTTGTTGACAAATGGATAGTAGATTCAGGAGCCTCCAAGCATATGGTCAATGCTCTTCACTTGTTAACTTACTCTATTACTCTTCATGATTCCCTTGAGGGTAAAGTACACTTACCTACTGGTAGTTTAGCTAAGGTCAGTCATATTGGTTGTTCTCAGATACTTGGAGGGATTGAGATCACCAATGTACTGTATGTTCCTGAGTTCAAGTATAACTTGCTCTTTGTGCCAAAGTTAACTAAGGAGTTGAATTGCTGTGTTCTTTTCTATCCTGATCACTGTGTATTTCAGGATCTCTCCAGTGGAAAGGTGAGGGGGATTGGCAAGTTGGAGAATGATTTGTATGTTCTTCAGGCTGATTGTCAATTGAAGTCACCAGCAACAGTTTCTTTGTCATCAGCTTATGCAGTTTCCACTCCTACATCATGTGTCTCATCACCTCCTATAGCTCTTGTTAACAAGAATGTCTCTCTATGGCATAAAAGGCTGGGCCATGTTCCATTTACTACTCTT